CTTGCTGTCATTGCTTCTGCTCTTGGGTGAAGAATAAATCTCCTAACTTCATGCAATTCGTAGTGTCTTTACTCCCAGCTCAGAAACGGACTTGGTAAGATAACTTTTTCTTCCAACATTAGCATAATCCTTGGCAGAAAGTCATCTTGTCCACTACCTACAGGTATCCAGTAGGCTTCCACTCTTCTAAATCAGGTTGGAGAAAAGTCCAAAAAAGGACACCTGTTTTAGTTAGAATGATCTGAAAATCTCCTGCAATGTCTACCCTTTGGATTTACTCCTTTTAGTTCTAGAATCAGACATATATTTACTTGTATCATGACCTGCACTTTTGTACTTATTGATCCCAATTGATCACCCCAGAATTGCAGGTCTCTGAAGTGTAAGTGTAATACATCCCTCAACCTGTACTGGCATGATAACCCGGTGGTGACGCTCTCACAGTTTACAGGACACCAAAATCTGAAGAGAGTGAATAGATGAGTTAACAGCTAAACCTCCTTGAAAAGTGGAATGTGTTTATGAAACCAGGTTTTAAATCAAGCCTTGCTAAGCTTCCTAGCAAACTATCTGGTTACTAGGTTCATTTAGTTAGGTTGTAACTGAAAAGAATTAAAGTCTTCTAGCAGAAACAATCTTATTACTCTTATATTAAATACGGCCTCTACAATGGGATGAAAATGATGTAATTACATAACTATTATGCCAAGCAAGAATACTACTCATTCCCAATGCCCATGCTTCTTAGGATGATAAGGATTGTAGTAACTGAAAGTGATGTAAGATTGAAAGATTCCAGATTGGAGGAAGCACTTTGTGTCCCATTATGATCTCCGAGATACAGTAAGGATACCCTCAATATAAGTGTCAACTCTTCGAGGTTGTCCATATAAGAAAACCAACTCCATGGGAAGATTAGAACTAAGCTTCATTGAGATAACAGAAACTTGCAAGCCTGTGTTTTTCCTCCCCTCCCTCTTATAATCCAGGGAGTCAGGAAGGAGTCTGCCTGAGTCTCTTCCTGACACTTCCCATGGCTCAAGAAATGTTTCTGCCCTTTTTCTTTTAGTAATGGCTTCTGAATATTTCCCTCAAGGCTATCTCCTTGGCACTTTAGAGCAGTGTTTCTCAACACTGGGAACTTTAAGATGGGTGGACTTTAACTTCCAGTATGCTGGCTGGGGAATTCTGGGAGTTGAAGTCCACACATCTTAAAGGTCCCAAGGCTGAGAAACACTGCTTTAGAGTAAGAGATTATCAGTAAGATGGGTACAGATATATCTTCAGTGACTCATCTTTATAAACATGCTGCATCTCCCCATTATAAGCATGTTATATCTAAACATCTTTCAGGAACAGTATTAAGCTTTATTTGGTCTGGTTAATGGGCTCAATATGGTGGGGAACTTTATTTAGTACACTGTAATTTTATTATTCCTTTCAGTCATCAACAGGCACACAGAGATAAACAACACTTGCACACTGTTCAAAAGAGACAATAAAAAGGAAATGAAAAGATCAGAACACTGACTCGCCAGCAATCAACACTCAGATAAGCAGGGATTAACACCAGGATTAACACCAAACATACAATCAAGCAGTAAACAATACCCTAATCAAGAAACTACCAGCTCTGACAGACAATCAAGTAGTAAACAACAGCCTAATCTAGGAACTACCAAGGAAGAAGCAACACCCCCACCAACAGACAGGGCAAGTTACTGTTTATAAGTAGAGAGTAAACCCTGCTTCCTGCTAGCACTGAAGATATTACCTAGATGGGTAACAAAACGTCTACAAGAAAACAACCAAGCTCAGAGAACCCCAAGGACTCCACAGTTATTTCTTTCCCAGGCTTAGAAGCAGTTAAGGACTACAAAAATGGGTTCTTCTCAAAGTTATTTTAAAATTTTCCAAGATAGAAATAACCTCTTAAAAAGTAGGGACAATGGTTTCAGTTACATGGTGACGACCTAACAGGTAACCTGAATAATCATACCCTTTAAACACAAATGTAGGTCTTTACACAGTTAATGGCTTCTTTTATTTATTTAACATAATTCTACGCCACTGCAGTCAAAATGACTCTCGGCATTTCATATAGAAAAAAAATACAAAAATAAAAACACAAATAGCATTTCCACAATACAAAAGGAGAAAAAGAGGGCAACTTCAAATCAAATCAAATCAAATCAAATCAAATCAAATCAAATCAAATCAAATCAAATCAAATCAAATCAAATCAAATCAAATCGGCATTTGAAAGACCAGCAAAGAAGGAGCCACACATCCATCACGGTGGCATTATTTTGTGGAGGAAATGCAGTGTAACAAACAGAGAAGTTTGGGCTTGCTTAATTAACACATTTCCCCCCTAAACTAAGATTCACATGGACATAAGAAAGACAGCAATAAGTTAGGCTCTAGGTTAAATCTGGCCAGATATCAAGGATCACCCAAGACTGTTATGCATTATATTTGCTCCTGCATATGGAGCAGAAGTGTAGGCAGAAAACAAGCAACACCTCACTTTTTTGTGGGGCGTGGGGGTGGGGGAAGAACTCCATCTTGTGGCTGCAGAGAATAACAGGCAAGCTAATCAAGTCAAAAGCTTAATCCTGCCAAGCTGCACTACAATTGCACAGCTTTAAAGTTAAAGCAAGGGAAACTTCTTCAGTTAAAATAAGTTTTTTGGGGGGCCAGGAGCTATTCTTTGTAATATATCTTAGCTTGACCTATAAAGAAAAAGTCATTTTATTTAAAAAATGTAAGTTTAATACATATATTCACAGCTAGCCAATTTGAGCCAAAGAAAAAGCAGTCCAAAAGCAGATGGACAATTAGATTACAAAAGCCCCCAAAAGTGTGCAATTGCAATCTGTTTTGCTGTCAGTGAATGAGTTCCTTTCCAGTGTTGGTTTGGCAGTCATAAGTAGTCATAAGAAGGGAGTTACTGTATTGTCAAACTGCTGCTGCAGAATGCTCTAATACAGTGTTTTTCGAAGTTGACAACTTTAAGATGTGTGGACTGCAACTCCCAAAATTCCCAAGCCAGCATTCTGGCTGAGGAATTCTGGGAGTTGCAGTCCACACATCTTAAAGTTGCTAAGGTTGAGAGACACTGCTCTAATAGCTCCAAATAGTCTGGATCAGTCACTAAAAGGAATCTTCAGTCTTCAGTCCACACCTGCCTGCTTCAATCCTGTAATTCCCTGTTATCTTGCTCTCCAACTCCCATAATAGTCTTTCGCCAAAAGCATGGGAGTCCAACATTATAGGGCAACAGGTGGGGAAAAAGTGCTGTATACAACTGCTTCCTAAGATTGTGATCTGTACTTGGAAAGGCCACTAGAGATGGACAAAACCATCTATTTCCTCCTGATCCAGGTCATTTTGCACATATTCATTCACAAGTTTATCTCCCCAACTTCCACACTTACCTGTAATTTGTTGTTTTAAAAAGATGCACAAAACTGGCACTAGTAAAGGCATTTTTCATGTAAAAGACTGGATAGCATGTTCCTTAAGTAGGATTCCTATCAGTTGGAAGTTTGAGAGGCACAAGCAGCTTTCATTAGAGAAAATAAAGGGAAAAATAATTTCTGATTAGCCTTTTTATATTCAGCTGGATAGGTATCCAAGCAACTTTCCAAGATGTTCCAGCTCCATTTAAAGATTTAACTTTTTAAAATTAAATAAGCACGGATTCTCCTTAGAAATGTATGGAGCTAATGTGTGGCATACTTGTGGTCATTTACTGATTTATGCATTTACCTGGCTGCCCAAATCAAACCATGTAACTCTGGGTGATGTACAAAAAGAAGCCCATAATTAATACAAAACAACAAATTAAAACATACTAAACAATGAAAGGGCAAAGAGAATTGAAAACTTCTCACTTATTCATTGTGGATTCAACTCAACCTGAACCCAGAGCTTGGAGAAAGAGCCAGGTCTTAACTGCTCTTCCTTCCTAAAGGCCTGAAGAGTTGGGGCCAACCTTATGTCTGACGAAAGATAGTTCCAAAGGGCAGGGGACCTCCTGGGCCTCATAAGATGACATTGTTTCAGTGAAGGAACTCAGAGCATACCTTCTCCTTCAGGATGTGTGGGATGGGCAGATACCCTCAGGAGCAGGTGGTCCAACTCAGTCCTATGCCAGGTAGGGCATCACCAGCACCTTGAATTGCACCTAGTCTGTAGCTCACAGAAGAGTCATAATGCTGGCATAATAAACAATGTCCCTAACTATCTGGGCTACTGCATTCTTGACCAATTGACCAATTCCAATGGTCTTCAAGGGTATGTAAATCCCCAAGCCAGCTTCATATATATGTGTATGTGTGTATGTGTGTGTATATAAAAATATAAGTATAAGAACATTTAATACCTTACTATGTTACATATGGATGTGTGAGTGGACAAAGTATGCTGATGCATTATGCTTTTCACTGGGCTCTTCTAAAATTACTTTATCTGATTTTTGTCTTGGAGTGAAGAAAAAAATAAGATAAAGCAAGCTATAAACCATTTTCCCCTTGAAGAATCCACAAATTATTGCCATTTTTTTTGGTTTTTTGTTGTGAACATTAAAAATAATGAGGCAAATTCTTTCAGCAATGCAGCAAATAATTTTTAATATAATAAAAACATATTTAAACTGTTCACAATTAAAGTGAAAAAAATTAAAAATAAGGCAGCCATCCATGGAATGATCTCATGTGTACAAATGATTTAGAAAAGACATTAAAATTACACTTTAGTACACAGAATCAGGTATACAGCTGTGACCAGGGAACACTACCCATAAATTCATAGCTGGTCAGAGACATAACAGAAACACATAAAAGTTCATATCTTTTTGAAATGGATAATCTCCTTCCAAATGCTGCTGCAAGGGCCTCCCATTTTCAAAGTTTCCTATGGTTCATCATAAACAGCACAGCAGCACAATATATTGTTCAAGCTTTCCCATTCTGGTACAACTGGATACTAAAAATGCCAACTTATTTTCACTTAGGATACTGGAAAATCACTTTTGAGTTTCTCTGAAGATTTTTCCACTGTTTCAGAAATTCCAAGATATTTCCTTCCAGTTGAAGATACTGCATTTCCTTGTTATATCTGCTCTATCATTCTGTCAAATATTGCAAACTGAAGTGTCTCCAGCATAGGCAAAATATTGTTTTATGAATGGCAATTAAGTGACCAAATGTAATGTTGCATTCAGACACAGATTGTGAACATTTCCACTTTCAACTCAGTCCACAACTGATGTGAATGGTGGAAGTGTTGGAATTTGTGAAAATGTATTAGTGATGCATCTTTATTTTAGCAATCCATGGCTTTCAGGTTTACTGGGAAGCTCAGATTACAGTTTGGATGTGATTAGTAATACGAGTCAAGAAGAGTAGAATTAGATTACAAAAAGCAATGATTTTGTATTGATTTTTAAAATCTGGGCAAAGTCAAAATCCATGTGCTCAAATCAGAGGATTCCTCAAAACTGGGATTCTCAGTATTACAAGAGATCACATTTCTGGAATTCTGCTACAGGATTTCTTTCATCTAGATTACAACTTCCCTTCTATAATAGCAGTTAGCAATTCAATACTGACAAAGCACTCAAGGTGCCTTTGTTCCCACAGGAGCAAATCAGCCCCACAAGAAGTTCCTGTGACTGCCTTATGACTTCTTTCATATTTATTGTATAAAACATATCACACATTGAAGCCTAATCACTGCCTTACAAATCACAGATAATAATCTAGTTCAGGATACTGGGCCCAGGTTAGTGAAATAGAGAAGAATGAATTAATAGACTTGCTTTCATAAATTTGATTTAGGTTAGGTAGCTTCCAACTAAGTTTTGCAAGTAGCAATAAGCACCTAAAACTGAGTCTGGCTTAATGCAGAATTCCTGAAGTGCTCTCTCAGTTACATACAACAACCCAAAATGATTTTTAAAAACGTGTGGCTTAATCCCAAAATTAAATCCCAGAATCCCAATTCTTTTACTATGACATTTCAATCAAGTTTGGTGAGTTCTCATTTTGCCACTATTTCCCAACCTGCTAGTTCAGAATAGACATTCTTGTCATTTTTCTCAGCAATGGAAACTTGGCAGTTCATGACTTTATTTTCAACCATTAAGTATGCAAATGTGACAGGCACATTAATCACCTCAGTTCATATATCAAATAGTACATCTGTTTTCTTTGTCCCATGTTTAGACAGGTGTGTTTCTACTTTGTAGCACAGAAGAGAAGAAAATTCTTCTAAAATCGTAATATTTGAAAGGTATAAATGCTTTCTTACAGAACAACTACAGCTGGCAGATACCATTTGTGATGCAGTAGGCATTTGATAACACCATTTTATGATGCTTGACCCACACTAGCACAGGTGGTTTATCCCAACTACAGATTATATAAATTTATGTAGCTGATATACACATGTTGGAAAGGATAACAGTGGATAGGTCTGTTGAGTATTAGCTTTAAAAAACCCTTAGGAATGATCACATTTATATTATTTAATGTTAATCCTCTTCTGGTTCTAACATTACGCCCTCTATAAAAGGCAAGATTCTTAATGAAAAACTGATATTGCCTATTGCTGCACAACCAATAACTACTCAGTGAGTAGGAACTGCCAGTTAAAGCATAACTGTCCTGAACAATCTTAACATTCACTGCCAAGGAAATATAAAATGTGAGCAAAAGGCAGGCATGGAAAAGAAGTTCCATTAATTACTGAACTGTAAAAGATGCTGAAGAAAGGAACAGATTTATCTCATGAAATAACCAGTCCTGTAAAAACCATTCAACTCACACATTTATCTTGTTTACAAATAAAATTTTAACTATTAATGAAGGACTTTTGACAACGTGATTGAAAATTTAAAGCATACGCAAAACTGTGCACCAGTAATCAACATGTATTTTTAAATGTTTGTTTTTTTTTAAACCAATGGCTTTTACAGTTTTTTCCCCATAATTAGATAACTATTTGAAAAAGAAACCTATGATTTGTAGAATTGTGTTCTAGAAGTTTGGGTTCTAGAATTGTATTCTGGAGTAATACCCAGTTTTAACAGGCTTCAGACAATTCAGTACAAGCTCACAGCCTGGAATGATTTTTGGTAAAATATCAGAAAAAGGTTTCAGCTTTTGAGGTTGGTATTTGCTGACCAAGGTTTACCTTATTCTATTTGAAAAGAAACATTCTTTGTAAATAAACTAGCATCCATTTCAATAGACACCTACTCCTTAGAGCTCAGAACAATCTAGCCTCCTGCTGAATGTGGCTCTCCCCCTGTATTGTATAGAGTGTTAAAATCAAGGGGCAAAACAAATGTGCTTCCGTAATAATTCAATGCAAGAATTCTATTGAACTGCTTTATCTAATACAAATTTTGCCTACAGCTTCATCCTCAAATATTTCTTCACCAGATGCCTCCTTCTAAGACAGCCCATGCCACTATTAATGCATGAACATTTGAAAGATGTAAACAATCTTCCCACATGTTAGAAGGCTGCATCATAATGTCAAGAGATCAGCTCTGAATGCTGACATACAGAATACTTGAATTATGATTTCATGATGAATTGCAAGGATCTTCCCAGATAATATCCAGTTCCAGCTTCCCTGAGAATAGGTAGGAAGTCATAATTAAAATATCTTCAGAAAAGGGAAATTATGCAGGATTCATAACTAGCCGTCAAAGAGTACTCTCTCTCTCTCTCTCTCTTATATTGAGTTTCCCCACAGTTTTCTTGTGGCAATGATGATCCTCTCCAACTCCTTAGTATAGATGGGGTGGTTAACAGGATAAGAGAGACAGCAATAAAAAAGCAACTGACTGCTGCTTATACCAGATTGAGGGGGAAAAATGCTGGTCTTCCAAGTTTTAATGTTGGTGTCCAATAGATAAAATCAGAGGAATCAAGCAACCCAGAACCAATGCAGCCACCTCCAGGCGGCTGAGTCCCTTGCCTCCAGCCGATTCAGGTTTATGGCTATGTCCCATTCCACCCACTTCAGGAAGAACGTGAACTGTGGCAACATATAGAAAAGTCCCAGCAGAGAACAGCATGGCAACTCCAGTGGCATTAACTTCTGAAAGTGCCTGTTTACTGCTCTGTAAAACAAAAAGAGGCAACATGCAGATAAAATACAAAGCTCGTCCTTCTTTAATTTAAAGTTGCTACTCTACTGAAACTGCAAAATTATCTTTGGATAGTATTACACCTTTCCTCAAAGGAAAACCAATGTTCTGGAGATCTAACATCCTCTATCACCAGTGGAAAATTTACTCAGCAAACATTTGTCAGTGCAAAAAAATCCAGTTGCTGTCAGATGACTTACATAATACCCATAATTTGGTGTTAGTAAAGAAGGTCAATGCAAGACCAATTGATTGCATTTTGTATGCACTATTTTCACTCAAAGCACAATTCAAAATCCAGCAAAAATGCTCTATTAAAGGAAATACCAAATATTTGAGCATCTGCAAAATTATTCCCCAACTTATTGATGCACAACTGATTGGTAAATATGATTAATGTGAGTTAAGTGATTATTAAAACTTTTCATGTTCCCCAGCTGTTTTACCTTGCTTAGTCCCAAATAAGTCACCATTGACAAAACAGGTGCTGCCAGTGCAAAAACCAGCAAGTGCTTCCTGATTCGATTCCGTTCAAGACCGGCATGCATAAGAAAAGAGACAAGCCCAAAAGCAGCAGGTGCCTACAACATAAAAGGAATAAACATTTAATGCTCAAGTATAAAACAAATTGCACTCCCTTCATTTGCAAAACGGGACGTTTAGTCAGCTAACTACTGAGCCCTTCCTTCGGTTTTCTGGTAGTTGTATCAGTAGTATAGCACTTCCTTAATGCAAGATGTATATATCAACTAGTAGAGTTGCTACTAGCTCATTGTATCTAATGGGGAAGATGGCACACTTCTGGTATAATAAAATACATGCTTCTTTTTCCTTTATAACACTATATGCCATAAAATTGAAAATAATACTACTTACTAAAACATATGCAGCTTTTTGTGGCAGAAAGCATCCTTTGACGTTTGCCTTCTGGGAATTTTGTGACTAGACTCATTCACCATGACAGTCATGTTAGGAAAATACAATCTCTATGGCAGCCATTTTCTGAAAATATCCACAACATGCTCTCAAATTTCCAGTCCCTATCCCTATTCGAGATTCCTAGATTTATGAACCCGTCACAAGATTTCCGTCCTGTTTTCTAACAAAACAAAACAAAAACATAGGGCAGATGCACAGTACACTGCTGAACTGGCTGGCTAAGAACCTTGGACCAAGAAAATGAGAGAAAACATGGGGAAGTGAACCCATTTTCAGGCTACTGAGGAGGAAACATGAAAAATCAGATGGGAGGGGAGGGTGACTTTAGAAAAACCATATCTCTTCTTCTCAAACTTGGAATTTTTGTCTCCTATTCCATATTTCATGTTTTTCTTTGCTTCAGCTCCATGCCCACTAGTCTTTTTTTTCCCTATCACTCTTCCATGAAAAAAAAATACATGCACAGTTTACCTTTGTTTAGGGTAGGGAGCTATATAATGATTTTTAATACAGGTAGTCCTCACTTACTGACAGCAATTGGGACTGGCAACTCTGTTGTTAAGCAATGTGGTAGTAAAGTGAAACATCACATGACTGTGCCAGCTTACGTCAGTTCCGGCTGCTGTTGTTAAGTGAATCACCTGTAGTCATTAAGCACAATGTCACATGACTGTGACTTGTAACTTCCTGCCAGCTTCCCCATTGACTTTGCTTGTTGGAAGCCAGCTGTGAAAGCCACAAATGGCAATCATGTGACCATGAGACGTGTACCGGTTGCCAAGCACCCAAATCATGATCACGTGACCGCGGGGACACTGCAATGGCCGCAACTTTGAGGACCAGTCATAAGTCTCCTTATCTAGTGCCACTGTAACTTTGAACAGTCACTGAATGAGTGGTCGGTAAGCGAGGACTACCTGTACTTAAGCATTAAGGTTATTCAAAATGTTTTGAATTTCAGTAAATTCAAAACACCTTGTTTCAAATGCAAAATGGACTGCTTCAAAAATCTGCAACAAACAAGGTCTTCTAAATTAAAAATGGTTTGAGTTCAAAGCATTTGTATGTTCCTATTAGATATGCCTCGGGATTATCTTCCATGAGCAGAGACTTCCTGAAGGTGCCTGAACAGTATCAATCTAATTACATGAACCTCAGTACTCTATGCAGAATCTTACAATTGCGCCTGCCACTAGAGGGCACAAAGACTAGAATGTAACTGGAAAATCAGAAGGGATTCCCTGGTCCTGTTACTGTAACAAGAAACCCAAAAGATAAAGTGTAGTATAGTTTCAGGACCAATAATGGCTCAGAATAAGCTATCATTTCCTACATAAGATCTACAGGTAATCCTCACTTAATGACCATAATTGGGACCGGAATTAAGTCACCACATGATGCAGTCGTTAAGCGAATCATCACGTGACCGGACCTGATTTTATGACCTTTTTGTGGCAGTCGTTAAGTGAATCACATGGTCATTAATTGAATCACACAGCTCCCCACTGATTTTGCTTGCCGGAAGCAGGCTGGAAAGGTTGCAAATAGCAATCATGTGATCCCTGGATGCTGCAATTTAAGTGTGAGTGGTTGCCAAGCACCCGGATTGCGATAATGTGACTGTGGGGGTGCTGCAATGATCATAACTTTGGACACTGGGACAAAGCCCCCTTTTTTAGTGCTGTCGTAACTTTGAATGGTCGCTAGATGAACGGCCATTAAGTGAGGACTATCAGTGATTCTGATGCAAATTAATTGTATATAAAGTACCTTATAAGGATATTAAATTCAGGACAGAAACACTGCTGCTTACTACAAGTCATTACTGGGATAGCAGAAAACTCCCACATACACAGTATGTAACTGCATATCTCTACTTCTAGATACAATCCTAAATACAAAAGCAAATTGAAATGCTTAAAAATGTGCATGGATATTTTCTTAAAGACACACCACTTTTAAAAAGAGCTTTTGCCCTTCACTGAAGTCCATGATTCCCAATAGTAAATACCATTCACTGATGCAAGAAGCATAGAAAGGTTTTATACTCAAAGCTTACCTTATGCAGCATAATTGCAACAAACACTATTAGCTGAACACTCGTTTGAGATGTAGAAGCAGCTGCACCCAAGGCAACACCATCGGCTTAATGAGGGAGGAAGGAAAAACAAGCCACGTAAGAGTGAATCCATCCATTGATCAAAGACTTACTGGAGCTAAATTATACAAGAATAAGTCTATCACATAATTCCCTTATCTTAACCTGCTCTTCCATTCTTGATGATAGTTCTAATATTTATGTTTTGAGAGTAGATCCATGGCAACAGTTTTGAATCAGTCTTCCAGCAGTGAAACAGCCAACAATTCCGCTTAGCCCTTTACAACATCGTCCTAAGCATATGCTTTGCTCCTATATTTTTGGCTCTTCTGGTCCTAGTGAGCTTCCATCTTTGATTCTGAGTCGGGTTGTATTTCCCCATTCAGAGGTGGTACACAATTTGGAGGTCATCCTGGACTCACAGTTCCTTCTCAATTAGCAGGCAGCAGCTGTAGTTAGGAGGGCCTTTACACATATTCATCTGGTGCACCAACTATGCCATTTCCTGGACTGGAAGTCCTTTGTCACAGTCATTCATGCCTTGGTCACCTCACATGGGGCAAATTGTTCACCTCTCTGAGTCAGTTTTGAGTTGAGGTGGCCTTATAACTCAACATTATGAAGAAATAAATTTACAATAAATAAATTTGCTCCTTAAATTATCTGCAGATTCATCATGAAGTCTAGATATATTCAATGTCAATTTTTCTTTACATTAACTGAGGATTTACATTAACTAACTGAGGATTTCAAAAGACTCATTCTAAAAATTGAAAAGGGAATGTATGTTTGAGGGCAGAGGATTAGGCTCTAAGAGTTCAGATATATTGGTATGGTGTTTAAAACTAATGTATAAAGTAGCAGTAGTAAGTTTATTTATCATTCACCTATAGCTACGTACAGTACAGAAACAAGATTGAAACAGTAATTCATATCATACTACAAACAATTGTAAAACCACCAAATAAATATTTTTTTAACTCTACATTTCAATGGCTTCACAGAAACACAATAAAAATATTTTTTAGTTATTTTTTAAAACTTTAAAAGATCTGTCTCCAAACATAATTCTAGAGGGCTAATATTTTTCATTATGAATAAAAGCTCCAGAAATGTCTCCAACTTACAGCCTATAGGCTGGATCAAACAAGTATTCTCCTATTAAAATTAGATGTAGAACTCCTGGCTTGCAGGGGAGTTCTTGTGTGCACTATAGCCCTGAGCTGCACAGAATCGTCAGACCCATATCCCTGCAGTTCAGGTTAGTCTCCTCCCTCATCTCTTATCTCAAAGTGGACTAAACTTGGGGAAAAGAATAGAAAGAAAGTCTACAGCATTATTCCATTATTAGCAGCAGTAACTAGTGGGATCGTGTCATGCAATTGTGGCTTAATGCTAACTCACATAACTTGACAATATGTCTGGCATTTAAAAAAAAAGAAAACATAAATGACCAACAAAATTGACCTACCTGCTGCATGGACAACTAGTCCTAGTGTAGTAGTAATTTTGGAATTGCCCGACCTTGCTGCTTCTGGGTCTGAAATAATTAAGAAATCTTAGCCAAAAAAATATAAACAAGAGAATAGAAAGAGAAACCTAAAAGAAGAAATATTACAGAAGTTAATAATTAATAGGAGTTAATAGAAGTTAAAGAGCCAGTTTGGTGTTGTGGTTAAGGTGCTGGCCTACAAACCAGAAGACTGAGTTCTAGGCATCCCTTCGGCATGAAAGCCAGCTGGGTGACTTTGGACCAGTCACTCTCTCTCAGCCCAACCCACCTCACAAGACTGTTGTTGTGGGGAAAATATGAGGCAGGAGTATTAGGTATGTTTGCCACCTTGAGTTGACATACATACATACGTACATACATATAAAAAAGACAGGGTAAAAATATAATAAACATAATAATAATCATAATAACAATAACAATAACAACTTTTCACCAAACTAAGCTATAGTTATTAATAGTTTCTCAGTGGCCTGCCTGCCTGCCTGCCTGCCTGCCTGCCTTCCTTCCTTCCTAATTAAGGGGTGGAATATTCCATGAAATAGAATCCTTCTGAAGGATACTGTCTAACATTCACATTTAACCACAATTAAGCAATGAAAATACCATATTGGAGCTTCGAAATGCATCTGTTGGCTGGAGCAGTCAGAAAAGCATGGCTTCCAAATCACCTGTACTTGGTTTACCAATGATTTAAGTCATCAGTTCAAGATATATTTTTTCTAGTTTCTGCCAAATAGAATGTAACTATGATTTGCAGCAGGTTAGTTATGGGTTAAATCAATTTATTGGAGGTAGGGACTCTGTTTTGTGTGACATGCTTATTATACCAAAACACTGAGGGTTGTTGTGGATGCCTCTACAGGTATTTGCATAGAACTAAGCACAATTCATTTAATGCTCAAGTGTTTCTCGTTAAAATAAGATGTATGAACACTTTCTGCCACTTTCTTTGTTTTATAGCAGAAATCTCAAGCAATACTACTACATCGAATTGAGTCATCAGAGTACTAGTTTGTGTAATGAGTTAGAAGGTTAGTTTACTCAAGGGAAAAAAAGCGCTCTTGGGTTTAGTAAGTTTCATTTAAAGCTAGAAACTTACTAGTTCATTTTTAAAAAAATCTCTAAAGATCCCATTTAAAGTTCTTCCAGTACAGGTAGTCCTTGCTTAATGACCATTCATTCAGTGACTGTTCAAAGTTAGGATGGCACTGAACAAATTGTAGTTATAGCTGGTCCTCAAAGTTATGGCTGTTGCAATGCCCCTGTGGTCACAATTCAGGTGCTTGGCAGCCCGCCCGCATTTACAACCGCAGGGTGTGCTTCAGCTCCCCCCATCCCCCCATCTCCCCCCATTCTCTGCTCTTTGGGCCACCCTGCCTTCTGCTGCCCCTGCCATCCTGCATTCCACCGCCCCTGCCCCCCACTGACCTTCACCATCTTCTTCCTCCCACTGCTGATGAGACACACTTGATCTGGCCCTTCCCAAGGCAGCTGCTGGCCGTGCAAGGCCTTGCTGTGCTGGGGCAAGTACAGTAGAGTGCAGGGTGTCCAAAAGGGCAGA